TTAATCTGTAGGAGGAACTATGATAGAAATACCTCCCAATACTATTTTTTCTTGCTTTTCAACAACAAATATTTACAAATTGATACTAGATAGGTACTGTTCTAAGCACTAAGAACAGGGATGAAACAGAATTTCTGCCTTCACAGACTGGAGAAAAGTAAACCAACAATTATGATATTGCATGACACTTGCCATAATAAATATAAGAACAGGGTGCTTCCTCAACATCTGCTTCCAGTTCATCTAGAAACTGCCTGTCAGGCATGGCATGAATCACCTCAACTTTCCACCCTCTTATATTTCAACTTACTCTCACCAGCTTCACTCCACTGATGGTAAACAATGTGCCCTTCCTTCTGTCCAAGACCAACCCCACCACCTGTACTCTCAGATACGCCACTTTTCATCTCTTATGGGGAATCGTTCCAGCAATTATCCACACTAGGGGCGGGGGAGGTTGGACAAGTAAATTCAAGAGCTCATCTAGAAAAAGTGCTATGTATCTGACTGCTAAATATTGCATTACAGTCACCTTCAAAGTACTCCTCTTGGCCACCTGGCGACCATAGTGATATTCAGCAAGGAGGGATGTAGTACTTTTTCTAGGATGAGTTCAAAAACTTAATTGTCTGACCCTGTACACTCAACTGTGGCAGTTAACTCACTTCTGATTCACTTCTCAACCTCCACGATCTGGGTTTTGCCAGAGTACTCCACTAACAATGCTGCTCTGGTGAAGGGTGCAGGTATCTTTACGTGGACAAATCCAGGGACCACATACCTCTGTTTATTTGTAGGACCTCACTAAACCATGCTGACCACAACTGCCTTCCCAAAATATATGACTGTCTTGACTTCCACAATAATACTCTTTTGCTTGTTCTCTTCCTGTTTCTTAGATACTATAGAAGTTACCCAAGGAGCAAGGGGGTCCCTGACACCTTACTGAAGATACATCAAAAGCACATTTGTATATTTCCAGGACACATCTGCCTTTCTCATTCTCATATGAGTGTACAGTGGAACTTAGCAGATGCTAATAACAAACTGTAGGCAGGAACCAAAAGCATCCAGTCATCTTATACCAAGCTAAACGTTAAAACGATTTACAAAAATGCCAAACAATACTGTTTTTATGATTGGGGGGAAGGAAATTCATTTCTCTTCATAAAAAATGTTATTTATGTTAACATGAAATACATATATAAGAGTTTTATCAATTCACTAAAAATAGGTCTCTTGGCTTGGCACCTGTGGCTCAAGCGGCTAAGGCACCAGCCACATACACCTAAGGTGGCAGGTTCGAATCCAGCCTGGGCCCGTCAAACAATGACAGTTGCAACCAAAAAATAGCCTGGCGTTGGCGAGCGCCTGTGGTCCCAGCTACTTGGGAGGCTGAGCCCAGGAGTTGGAGGTTGCTATAAGCTGTGATGCCACAGCACTTTACCCAGGGGGATAGTTTGAGGCTCTGTTTCAAAAAAAAAAAAACAAAAAAAACAAAAAAACAGGTCTCTTAAAAAGGTTTTAATTTCTTAATAGTTTGGTTTTAATTTCTAACATGATAAATAAAGATAACTATGCCCCACAGAAGCAAAAGCTTTGTGTGGTCCTAACTTGATATTTGAGAACGTTGAAAGGGTTCTGAGACCAGTAAGTTCTCAAACTATCTTCTTGGCCTCCTTTATGGGCTCTTCTTCAGCCAACTCCTTCAATTTTGAAGTTCCCTTGAATGGCATCCTTAGCACACTAATTTTCTGACCAGTAACTAAGATTTCTCAATCTTGGCACAACTGACATTTTGGGCCAGATAATAATGGGAGCTGTCATCTATGCAACCCTGGCCTCTGATTATCTGCCAGTAGCACTCCTTATCCAAGTTGTGACAACCAAAATGTCTCTAGATATTGTCAAAGAAAATCACTGCAGGATGGAAACCACTAATCTGAATATCCTCCCTTGAGATTTCATCTAATATCAAGGTTTTAATTCCACTTATAACAATTTCACTTATTGAGTACCTCCTCTGCCAGGCCCTATTCCAAGTGCTTGATGTGTATTAATTCACTTAAGCCTTAATAATTTCAGATGTATGAGGGCAGGTGCGGTGGCTCATGCCTGTAATCCGAGCACTCTGGGAGGCCAAGGTGGGTGGACTGAGGTCACAAGTTGGAGACCAGCCTCAGCCAGAGACAGACCTCGTCTCTAAAAATACCATGGTGTTGTAGCAGGTGCCCATAGTTTCAGCTGCTTGGGAGGCTGACAAGAGAATTGCTTAAGCTCAGGAGTTCGAAGTTGTTGTGAGCTATGATGACATAGCACTCTGTCAGAGACAACAAAGTGAGACTTTGCTCAAAAAAAAGAAATAATAATTTAAGATGTATACATTATTACCCCCATTTTATAAATAAGGAAAATGCAGAATAGAGAGACCTTCTGCTGGTGATGCTAACTACTCCAGCACTGATGGGTCCTCTGAGCTTTAGACTATTGCAATTAATTGCCTCTGTTGGGAATGCTGGTGAAATTCACCCTCAAGACAATGAAGAAGTTCCAAAAACTCTTCGCAAGGCCAGCTATTTCTGTATTTCCTAAGTCAATTAATGGTACAACTTTTACACTTAACTTTCTCTATGCCTCAGTTTAACCAGAAACCTAGACGTTGTTCTAGACTTGGCTTGTACTTTCTACCTTATTCATGACTCCATTCGAGTTGTAATAACTTAATTTTCTAATGATTTGTAAAATATGTCATCTTCTCTATCCTCCTTTATTTCCGTCCTCATTAGGGTCCCACTGTTGTAATCATCTCCCATTTGGTATTTCTGTCTCCAGTGCTCAAAATCATTTTCTAAAGTGCTGCCAGAGTGAACCTCTAAAAAGGCAAATCTGGCTGTGTCACTTTAGTGGCTTCCTGTTAGCTAAGAATAAAGTTGGGTTCCTTAGCATGACCCAAAGGCCCTCAAAATGTGGCCCTCTCCAACGTTAGTCTTATCCTGTCATCCCTGAATCTTACTTAGCCCTCCTGCAACATTCTACCTTTTGCACTTACTGGAGTATACTATGCTACATTGTGTCTTTGATCCAGTGTCACCTTTGGGGAAGCCTTCCTGATTCTGCACCCTGTTCATACTTCTGTCACAGTATTTAACATGGTCTGTGAAAACTGTCTCTAGATCTGTGTCACACATATTTCCGTAAAACCAGTGATGGTGGGTGCCTCGTTGAGTTCAAAATTTCCATCTTTCTGGCTCCGGGGCCTGGTATAGTGCTGGACTAGGCAGGCTCTAGAGAAGTTTTTTGGAAGCACTGATTGAGGGTTTAAAAAAAAAAAAAGATACACACACACACACTCTGTATATTTTAGTGGAGAGAGGTGGAGAAGTGGGGTCTGTAGAATGGGGTAAGTCTGGAAAACTTCTGTTCAGAGAAAATCATGATTAACTGAATCTTGAAGGAAGAGGAAATACTCTAGATTAAGGGCATGCCATACAGAATAGTACTTGCAAATGTCCAGAAGCCCAAGAGGACATGGCACATGTAAGAAACTGCAAATGATTATGACAGAGGGCAGGATGCAAGGTAGGACTTGCTGTGCTGGGAACTGGAGAAGGATGACAGGATTCATTCTACTAAAACATGGTCTATACATAGTCTTACAGGAGAGTTTAAAAATTTTTATTTCAATATCACAATTACTTTATGTATCATACTTTTCAGATTGTTTCACAATTTGCACTAGTTTAGTTCTGATTGCTTATCTAATACTTCCTGTGTGACTTCTGATAAGTAACTTAACCTCTCTGTGCCTCAGTTGCCTTATAGGGTCATAAAAATAGTACCCACCTCACAGGGCTGTTGTCATAAATGTGTTAATACACATAAAGAACATAAAACAATAGTGGCACACGGAATTGATCAATAGGTGGTGTTGTTATTGATTTGCTATCAGTGACAAATAGCTGCTGAAATTAGAGAGGAGGGAAGAAGCTATCCTTGAAATCCACAAGACACAGCCCTAATATAAAAGACATATTTTATTTTATTTTTTATTTTTTGAGACAGAGTCTCACTTTATCACCCCGGGTAGAGTGCTGTGGCATCATAGCTCACAGCAACCTCAAACTCAGAGAGGATCAGGTAGTTAGTAAAGACACCAAATCTGAAAGAATGCCGAGAGAATTCCTAAGATACCTTCAGTAATGATGAGTCAGAAGTGATAAGAAGGTAGAAACTATGTGAAAACAGAGGCTCTAAAATAGAGAAAAGAAATATAAAATAACAAAGGAATCAAAAGCAAATAGTGGAATGAGGCCTGCATGCGAAAAGTGAGTGTACAATATTAATGATATAAGAGTTCAGACTCCTACTGTTCTACTGTTAAAGGTCCTGTAAGCGGGATTCCTGTCTGGTGAGCTTGGATAAACTAAGGTTTCAGCTCCTGGAATCTTGTGAGACCCTTCTTCCTTTACTGCTACTTAGGCATCCACCCTGAATTCCCTATGAAGAATAAATTTCATTCTTGCAACCAAAAAGAATTAAGATATCTAGGAAATAAAAGGGAGAGCTAGAGCGAGCCTTCAGTTTTGTGACCATGTGCTACAGACCCACCACTTCCACTCGCAAGTCTTCCAATTCTCAAGAGAAGTTTTTTATATGTAAATGCAACAGTGGCGCTAACTTCCCCAAGTTCAAGTACATTTTTTTATTTCTAACCGCAGAAACCTGATACTAATTGTGCTCTTGGAGCACGAACCAAAGCATCCTTCTTGTGGGAAAACGTCATCAAGACTTTAACACCTTCCCTGAAGCGAAGGAGGGCAAGCCCTCTGCTCCTCCCCGCGAGGTTTCAGAGGACTACACCTGTGAGCAAGGACACACCTTGCGGTGGAGGAGTCAGGATCACCGTCCCAACGCTGCCAGCGCAGGACGGTGGCTCCTTGTCGACTTGGCGATATTACCGGGCAGCCGGCGCCCCCGGCCCTCCCGGCCCCCACAATCACCTGTAGTTGTAGGCGCTGAAATGCTTGCTCTCTCTCAGCATCGCTCGATACAGATCTAACACTTGTGCGCGGCTGGAGGCTGCCATTTTGGTAAATGGGTCCTCTTCACGGAGGTCCCCGAGTTTAACCCGACCCACAAAACTTCAGCGATGAAAAAATCACACACGAAACAAAACGCAGCGGCTAGCCAGTGGCTGGCCAGGCCTACGCCCCAAACACCGCTGAGGGCGCCGGGGGCAGGGCGCCGCTTTGGAGGCGGGCGCAGGCAGGGCTGCGGACACCTAAGGGGGCAGGGCCGAGAGGGAGGCTCCGGGGCGCGGCAGCTGCTCCGCGCGGCGGGAAGGCGGAGGAGGGAGAGGCCCTGCAGCCTCTGCACGCTCCCCCTCGGGGACCAAGCACTGAGGGCGTGCAGCTCCGTTATATACTGCTTCAGCGAACCGCCCAAGGGCCTGGAGGAGACATTTGCTCCCCCAGGCGCAGAGCCCGGTAGTACCTCCCCGAAGCCCGAAGCCGCGTTGTCTGGGTTACCGAACGCGCGCCGCCCCGACGCCCCGCCCCTATTGGTTGCGGCTGTCCTTGGCGCTGCCTGAGAGGCTGTGCGGGATTTCGAGAATGACTTGGCTTCTGCCGACCCAGAAAGCAGGATGGGTTTTCAGGGTTTTCATGGCTTTCGTCCATCCGGGGCACGCGGCTTGAGGGGCGTGGGGATGACGGGCCAGTGTCTCCCTGGCGCTCCGGCTCTGCTCAGGGCGACCGTCTTATGGGCCTCGGGGGCTGGGCCCACAATGCGGGCACCTCTGAAGTGGGGGTTTAGGCTCCTTGTTGATGGGACTGAGCGAGCTAACCTGCTGTATTTCTGATTTTGAAACACCCTGGGTCTAGGTTCCTGGCGAGCAGTGGGTGAGTGCCAGCCTCACTGCACTGCAGCGTAGGGGTGCGACGTGGGCGGCTGGGGTCGTGAGGGAGTTTGCATTGGGCATGAATGTTTTCCTTTTCTGGATGTTTTGCTTTTAAGTCAAGAGTCCACATGGTTTAGCAATCTAATAAATGCATTGAAAAGGCGGGGTAGTCTGGGCTGTAGACCTCAGTGATTAATTGGGGACCTTTAGGGCTTTAGGTATGCTGAACAAGAAGCTGAACAAGTTTTTTTCTCATGACTTTTTTCAGAAGACTTAAACTTTTTTGAACAACCTTGTTAAAACGGTGGATAAAGTTCGTTTGGGTCCTTTAGCGTGGACCTGGGTGCAGGGAAGCCTCAGCCAGTTTTACCTACTGTGTTTGCAAAGCATCTCTTATTTTTGGAATCGTGCTTTATATAATCGTCAGGAAGAGCCACGCATTTCTTCTTCCAAATACAGTGAAGAGTAACTTTATACATAAAAAACACGTTTGCATTAACGTCTTTCTTCCAACCATTTGGTCACAGGTGTGTTCTTACCTGTTTTAGTATACCTTGTTTTGAAACACTTGTCGTATTTCTGTATATTGAAACAACTTTATAGTTCCAGAAACTTTAAGGGCAGGAAACATTTCTCTGGCCTACTGTTGCTTCAGTATACTTGCAACCTGGTGTCTGCATTCACACATGCTTACTAGTCGTGATGCAGTGGCATTTAAAAAATACTTTTGCTAAATACTTTCAAGGAGAAAATACTGTTGCTAAAATCCTTTTAAGCTCTCTGATTTTTTTTTTCCTTAAAGATCTCTCTCCTCTTCTGAGGAGTAGCAGAAGTTCTGTCACTTTGGGGTTGGTCACTTCATTGGGCAAGTCTAGCCTCAGGTGTTTTGAAAGCACTTTTAACATGTTGAATATTTTGTTTGGCATTTATTACAAAGAATGAGAAGGAAAAATGTAAGAATTATTTTGGCTTGTTTAAAAACAGTGGCAATTACATTATTTTATAATGTTTTGAAAGTGAAGTTGGCGTAATTACTGTATGCACTTTTTATGCCTACAAATTCCTAGTTATCAAGGAATTTAATCCTTATATAATCAATGTATCTAAATTACATAACTTTGTTGTAATCAAATAAAATGTTTTCAAATAAACGTGTAAATTAAATAGCTTGGTAGCCTAGTCATCTGTTAGTTAAGCAACAGTTGAAGTTAAGAAAATGGTAGTGTTACTGGAATTTTCTCTCTTCAGTGGGTCCTTGGTCTCCCTGTTCTAAGGTGACCAGGCTTCCTGCTTTGGTGGGACAGTCCCGATTTCTAACAGTTTGTCCTGTGTCCCGCGGCATTTTTAAAAAGTCCCGATTTTTGGAAAGAATGCACAACAAGCCAGGGAACAGCGGGAGAATGGAAAGGGAATATATGGTTTTGGCTGCTGAAAAGGTTAATGTAACTCCATTTGGGAGTGAAGAGGTTAATGTAACTTCATTTGGAAATGAAAAGACTAATGTAAATGCCCTACTCCCCTCCTGGGCGAGCTTGCCCAGATGGAATCATCAGAAGGAGACTGCTCCCTCCCTTGCTTCTAGGCAAGGACAGTTAGCTCAGAAAGAGCCAAACTGTCTGGAACAAACAAGTAGCCCCCCATCTCTTAAGGTGACCAGACGTCCCGGTTTTGGCAGGGCAGTCCCGATTTTTAACTATTTGTCCCACATCCCACAGCATTTTAAGAAAGTCCTGTTTTTGGAAAGAATGCATGTAAAGCTAGGGAACGGAGGAGAACAGGAAGGGAATATACAGTTTTTGGCTGCCATGTGGCTATTTCACCAGGATATGAGTTGTTACATTATTTTTGTTAATTTTATAATGTTAAACTTTAATAATAAATAATTGTTGAGAACTGATTATCAATAACTGTTTATCAAAGTTTGTATTGTCAGGCCCTGCCCCCCTGAAGCCCTGCCCTCCCCCAGTGGTGTCTGGCTTTACCAATGTTAAAATCTGGCCACCTTACCCTATTCAAAAAGTGAACCCAGGGACCACGGATCAGTGGTATAGTATTTTATTAGACAGATAGTAATATAGAAGGAGTAGAAAGCACCAGAACTTATGGCAAAGGGGAGGACTCAAGTTGGAAGGCTCCTGCATGAGTCCTTTGTCTAGAGATATGTATTATCTTTTGGCCAGGACTTGGTAGGTGGAAAAAACCTTTTCAAAGTTAATGAGTGTATTAATAAATGAATGAGTGCCATCCCTCCACTGGGGCAAGGTTATTAGGTCTTTGCAGTTTTTGTTTCCGGGAAGGAATTAAGGTGATTGTTTCCTACTCAAGGTAGAACAACCCAAAAAGTTACTGACTTCGTTCATGACCTTGCTGTACCCCAGAGGGTGTGGCCTGGAAAGGTCAGCCTTTTTGTGCTTGGAGATGTGGGGTCTGATTTCTGAGCTCATCTGGCCTAAAGAATGGGGACGGAGGGGCCTCTGTCCAGCCTTGAGTGGGGAATCCTGTATCAGTAGCTTCCCAGTAATTCTAAGTGTTCACCAAAAAAACCTTACTATTTTATTGAAATGATTTAACAGTTTGTTGAATATGACTGCTTTAAAAGACTAATAAAAAAAATCATATTCCAAAGCTAAATCTCCATTTTTGCACATCTTCATTGCAGAGAGGGGTTTTCTTTCTTTCTTTCTTTTTTTTTTTTTTTTTTAAAAATCCAGTAACTCAGAGATTGTGAGTAGAATTGGGCCAAAAGTTGAGAATGGACCTTACTCATGTGCATTGTAATCTGGGTTGGTCATGATATTTTTTGGGTAATTAAACTAGAGTATATCACTGTAAAAATTTCTTTAGTATTCATTTATACATAGTGTTTATCAATAGTTTATAGTTCTTTACTTACCTAAAATTATTATATTAAGTTTAGGGTTGTCAAAGAGCATTTAATGCTTTGTGAAGAGAAATTTCTCTGACCAAAATAAGCCATAGAACGGCAATTTACTGGCCTTAAGCTTAAATGTCAAAATTTTGTGGAAAGTAAAATAAATCTTTAATAGGAGGAGAAAATCATGATAGTTTTTAGAAATTATTCTACTCCATATATGAATCTACATTTTTTACATATTTTTCATTTATATGTATCAATCATTGCAATAGAATATGAAGCCAGAAGAGACCTCAGACATCAACTCATTTGTGCAGATGAACAAACTGAAGCCCTTTTCTTTCTTTCTTTCTTTTTTTTTTTTTTTTTGTGCCGTTTTTGGCTGGATCTGGGTTTGAACCTGCCATCTCCTGCATATGGGGCCGGTGCCCTACTCCTTTGAGCCACAGGAACCACCCCCTGAATCCCTTTTCCATAGTCATTTATTCATTCAGCATTTATTGAAATCTTCAAAAATACATTATGTGCGATGATACAGTTTCAGTTATGAGAGTCCCCTACTCCCAAGAAACCTATAGGTGACCAGGTAAACAAAACATTTATTTTTGACAGGTGATAAGATAGGAGTACTAATGCCAAATGCTAGGGGAGGACAGAAAAGGGATATTCATCCAGGATTTTGACCTAAAGGAAGGCTTTCTTTTGTAGAAGATATTTGCAGGATGAGTAGTAAGAGCCAGATGAAGAATGTGTTAAGTTAGAGCTTAAACTGCATATTCCAAGCATGGTGGTGTGAGGGAGGTCTATGCATTTAGGGAACTGTGAGTGGTTTGGAGTGGTGAGAGATTAGAAAGTAGGGACTGCCAGACCACAGAAGTGGTTAGCCCTGTACCGGTTTTATTTTAGTGATGTGTTCTCCCTTTCTAGAATAGTCATTTCTTCCCTTATCTATTGTCTAAGTTGGTTATGTAAGTCAAGTGGAACTTAATAGCTGAGTTAGTGAAATGCAGGTATTGATAGGGTTTTGTTTTAGACCATGATTTTGAATCCTATATTCCAGGAGCGCTGTATTTTTATTTAATTATTCATCTGTGTATGCAGTAGTTGGCTGGCCAGTCTGTTAGTTCAAGTCACTGTTCTTGTAATAGCTTGAGGGCTATAAATCAAACACAGATTTTGTTTTCTTGGAGTTTATAGTTTAAATGCATTTGTATATAATTAAAATGTGAGATAGGAAATATAAAGTACTGCAAGAAAGGACTGGTGAAGCATTATGGAGTCTCTGCACAAGGAGAGAGGTCTCTTTGATGCCGGATTTTTGATACTGAATTTCCAGGCTCTTGGTCTCGGCGGTTCGAAGAATGAAGCGACGGACCA